ATATATACGTATATATATATATACACACACACACACACACACATGGTGTGGTGCTGTGGGTTAATACACTGGACTGCTTTGAACTGCAAGGTCGACAGTTCAAGCTCTCCAGCCGCTCCTTGGAAACCCTATACAGGGTTGCTATGAGTTGGAACCAACTCAACAGCACTTAACAACAACAACAACAACAGTACCACATCAAGGTAGTTTTTGGTTCAAAAAATATTTTTGGCATTTAACTTTTTTACTGTTCTTTTAAAATAATTCTTTGCTACTCAGAACGTCCTTTCACTTACAAATCAGGTTTCATTTGGAATCCTTACTGATCTGTTATTCTAACATTCCTATTGAATATCTAGCTACCAGCCATAGTTTCTTTGAGGAAAAGATAGTGCTGAAGCATTTAAAAATTTTTAATGCATGCAGAAAGAACTACATAAGCTTTACAAGCAGCTACATAAAGTGGCTCAAGTAATATTATGATTTATTTTGGCCTAAGCCCTTTAACAGCATCCTTTGAGACACAGAGAATGGTTACAAGAGCATACCAGGGCCCAGAAAAGCACGGGGCAGGCAGATGTTCAGAGCAGTTCATAGAGGAACAAGCAGGACTTCATTTTGCTGTTGCCCTCTTTCTCCACGTTTCTTCTAAATGCATTATGTCCTCTCTTTATCGCCCATGCTTCACAACTGCGTTAAAAAAAAAATAAAAAAAAAAGAAGGTAACCTAGCAACGACTGCTTCAGACCTCAAGTAACACCGTGCATGGGCTTTGCTATAGACAGGTAACCATTCTTAATAGCTCTATTCCCAGAGGGAGCCTGGGTGGGAGGAGCAGTGTGCACAGCTTAGGAACTGTCCTTATTGCAGACTGTGCCTTGACTAATACTATCTTCCATGTACTGGCTGCCCGTGTCGCTCCTGCTGAGGGCCCCGGATGGGATGCGGGAGGAACGACTCTCGGGGTTCTTCTCCTGTGAGAAGCAGCAGATCATCTTCTTCATAGTGCTGTACATCTCCTCGTCCTTGTATGAGTAGATGATGGGGTTCATGACGGAGTTGAGTAGCGCCAGCAGCAAGAACCACCGCTTCACATACTGCACGCCGCACTGGGTGCAGTTCAGGCCGTCGAGCAGCAGGACCACCAGGCCGGGGGTCCAGCACACAACAAATGCCCCTGGAGAGGGAGAAAAAACAACAGCAGGTGCTAAGACCCCAGGCAACTTGTTATGGGTAGCCTCGTCCCAGTCCTCCCTGTCTCCCATCCCCTTCCTAATGCCTTTAATCAGTGATGTGATGGGGAGGGACAATGAGAATTTAACAACTTCAAAGCAAACTTCACCTGTAGGTTTGAGATCTGGGTCTGTTAGAGGCAAACAGTTGGGAACCTCCCATGATGAAAAACCACAGCTTATTTCATTTTCTTATCTAGTAGTTCAGGTGTCTTATAACTAAGAAGTGACAATTAACGTCCTTTACTAAGCATTAGGAGACCCTGAGTGGTACAGACAATTAACATGCTTGGCTGCTAACAGATCAGAGGATGGAGTTCACCCAGAAGTGTCGTGAAAGAAAGGACTGGCGAATTACTGCTGAAAAAATTAGTCACTGACAACCCTACGGAGTACAGTTCTCCTCTGACACACATGGGGTTTGCCATGAGTGGGAGTCAACTCGTAGCAACCTTGTTGTTGTTGGGCTTTGCTTTACTAAGACCCTCAACGAGATAGATTGCAACAATGTATACATGTATATGTTCATGTATGTATATCTGGGGTCCTGGTATGGTGCTGTAGGGTAACCACTGGATTGCTAACCACAAAGTCAGTGGTTCAAACTCACCATCTGTTCCTCGGAAATCCTATACAGCAACAACAATAAATACAATTTTAGAAATAAATCTCTTTCATGATGAGATGGTTAAATATGTGCTTTGTAGACTTTCCAATCACATGTGAACAATACAATAGTCTCTGATTCTCTAGCCATAACTGAACATAACTACCTTACTTCTAAACTTCCAGACATTTTTCCTAAAAGATGAGACAGATTCAATAAGCCTGAGTTCAAATTAGATGTCCCTTATCAACTATGTGATCATAGGTAAGTTACTTCTCTTCTACCTCAGCTTTCTGGAGAAAAGCAAAGGATAGTGAAGCTCATAGTTCAGTTCTCTGAGATACTAAAGCAAGGAGTTTATACTAGTAGCATGGATTCTACTAAGCACCATATCAATGTGAGTTGTAATCGCTATGAAGGGTCTTTAAAAAGTCTGTGGGAAATGTCATTATCTTTTAGTTCTGTTTTCCATGAACATTTTGAAGCTCCCTCATATTTGAGGTTATAATAGCTTCTTCTTCTTGTTAAGTACTGTTGCGTCTGTTCCAACTCATGTCAACCCTACAGTTTCCAATGAGCAGCCAGTGAGCTTGAACTGCTGACCCTGCAACATTTAATTTGGACTCAGGCTTTTTCTCCAGAAACAATGCTCTTGGTCTTTATGTAACCAGATTCTATACTATGATGTAATCACTTTCTCACAGAGTCCTGGTCATTTCTAAATACACTTGTTTATCTATTAGGTGTCTATTCGTTATTATCAGGAACTGTATTAGCAGTGAAGAAGGCATAGACTGTGTACTCAGGAAGCTAATATAATGACAGGTGGCAGAATAAATAAGTAAATCTGTAAGTGGTACCACCAACTCCTTACTATTATTGGTTAAAATTCATCCTGGACAGTATTCCTCTTGTTGCTTCATTTCCCTTCTGAGAGATGTAATCATAAATTACACAAATCAAGAATTATAAAAATGCACTAAGGAGTAGTGAAAGGAGCCCTGGTGGTGCTTCAGGATAAGCACTGGACCGCTAACTGAAAGATCAGCTGTTCAAACCCACCAGCTGCTCCATGAAAGAAAGATGAGGCCTCCTGTGCTCATAAAGATGTACCGCTTTGGAAACCCCATATAGGGTGGCTGAGAGTCAAAATCAACTCGATGGCTGTAGGTTGGGTTTATGTGATAAGGAAACTCCATAAATTTTGGGAGAAAAAGCTATGCCTAGTTCTTCATCTTTAAGCTACATAATAGGGAAATTACTTCTTTGACACCCTGTTTCTTCATATATAGGATAATAATCTCTACCTTCCAGATGGCAGCTAGAGTCAGAGGTAATGTAAAAAGGTGTTCAACCCTGTGTTGGGTTCACCAAATGGACTCATTGTAAGATCCTTTGTTTCTAGCAGAGTTAGATGTCTAGGAGTTATCAGGAGGGTTTAAGTACCCTTTTCATAATTACAGCTAATCACTGGCTACACTTTTTCCTCCAGCCTGTTTGATCTGGCTGACACATATAGATCAAGAACTAGACTTAGAGATCTGGGTCTTAATTCTTCCACTTAATGTTCAGTTCTGGAAAAGCCATGTCATTGCTTTGGGTTTCGGTCTCCTAAACTGTAAAGTGAGGATGATAGGCTAGGTCTGGGTTTTCCAAAGTGTGGATCAGGGCCTTTTGTGAGTATGCGATCAATATAAATGTTTCAGACAGTATTCCTTTTAGTTAAATAGAATACAATAGAGTAACTCAGAGTACAAAGGAAAGTATTGCTTCGTGAAGTTTTATACACTATAATTGTGTGTGCACTGGTTAAGAGGTCAAATGTACTTCCCATCATTGGACTTAATTTAAAAGCTTTAAAAGCATTACTACAGATAATCTCCATCCAGCTCCAATGGACTGCATTTTTCTAAAAGTAACACTCTTACTCTCAGGGCTAGTCCCAAGAGAGGGGAACTATGTTGTCAAGAAAGGACTAAACAAGCCAGACTTCAAATACTGTAGCTCCTGACTTTGATGTGAAGAATCCAGTCTGTGAAACTTTATAATTCTTAAGAAACGCCAGTGGGAATGTTCCAAGGCCCCTGTGTTGATGGGAAAGAGGGAAAAACATTGATTGGCTTTGTACTTTGCTAAATACTTATGCCAAAATTTAGTAGAGTATATAATTCCAAACCAGTGGAAATGAAAAAAATGGAACTAAAGGAAAAGGGGGGAAAATATCTATACAAAAGACGGCAAAAAAAGAGGCAGAAAAAATATGGACAATGAACAAAATAAGATGCTGTAAATGAATCTAAAGATATCAATAATCAAAATCAATGTAACTTGTGGTACGCAAACATTGACAAATCAAACAATTTGATATTCAATGTTACATCCATGTGTTATAATCATAAGGAAAAGCAAGAAAATGATTAATACAAAATTTATTGTTACATTGGTAATGCTCTTTCTTAAATGGAGTGGCAGGCTCAAGGGTATTAATCTTTTTAAGTCTATTTCATTAAATTCTACATATATATTATTTTTTTAATTATGAATTAAGTGAAGATAAGCATACAAGAAGGTAAGCATATACAAAGTATACTCAACAAATCATATATTTTGTTTCATTACAATCATTGCAATCCAGGTACCAATAGTGAATAGTATTTACCTCTATTCACGTTATCTACTTTATTCCTCCCTGTGTCTCCCACTACTTTCATCTTTACTCTGCTAACCTCCCTCTCTTGTTGCATATTGCCTGCCCTGTCATCCATGTTAACATGTGTCTATCCTCTAGCTGGTGAATAATTTTCCCTCCCTCATAACCCTTTCCCCCTATAACCATCATAGATTGTTTCTTTTATCAAGAAAACCTTCTCTTAACTTTTCACAACATGGATCTCATACAATATTTGTCCTTTTGTGATTGACTAATTTCACTCAGAGTAATGTCCTCCAGGTTCATCCATGTTGTGAGGTGTTTCACAGAGTCATAGTTATTCAACATTGTGCAGTATTCCATTGTATGCATGTACCAAAGTTTGTTGAACCATTCGTCTATTAATGGGCATTTAGGCTGTCTGCATCTTTTTGATGTGTCTCTTGTAGGATCCTGTTTTCTTACCCATACTGGTGCATTTAATCCATTTATATTCAGTGTAATTATCAATACGTATGAATTTATTTCTGTCATTTTGATATTTTTGTGTGTGTGTGTGGTGCTTCTGGATTCTTTGCAATGCTGCTGAGTTCATTTGTGTTTGTGGATTTTCTTTTCATTCTCATTATGTTGTACTAATGAAATCCTGGTATGGAGAATGCACTGTACCTCAAGAATGGTTTGAATTGCAAGGTCAGTGGTTCAAACTCAACAGTCACTCCTTGATAACCCTTTACAGGGGCACTGTGAATTGGGACCGACTCCATGGCATATAACAACAACAACAACAATAATGCTTACTAACTCTTTATGATTTTCCTCTTTTAAAAATTTTGATGTGCAGGCTTTTTCTTTGAGGCTACCCTGTAATTTATTAATTTGTTTCCCTGTTTAAAACTGTCTGTTTTATGTTAAATCTACTTGACTTCCTTGCCATTTGGAAGTTCTGTATCTACACTATTCCCTCTTTTTGCTTTGTAGTTGACTTCATTATAAACTGACATCTCTGGTTTTCTATTTTCAATCTAGAAAGATGAGGCTTTCTGCTCCCGTAAAGATGTACAGGGTCGCTATGAGTTGGAACCGACTCCACGGCATATAACAAGGTTTGCTTTACTTTGTTGTTGTTGCTTTTGTTTTCTTCTAAATTTCTTGGAATAGATGAATGAGTGCCTCCAGTGGTGCATCAGTTTGTTGAAATACTTTAAATACTTTTCTATATGAATTGAGTTCTGGATGGTGTTGTGATGCATGGTAATGTTTGCTTTTGTTGGTTCTCAGTCCAAAGAATTTGAGCATTTTTTGTAAAGTTGGTCTGGTCATTACAAATTCCTTTAATTTCTGTTTATCAGGAAATGTCCTAATTTCGTCACCATATTTGAGGGACAGATTTGCTGGGTATATGATTATTAGTCGGCCATTTTTTCCTTTCAGAGTTTTGCATATATTATCCCATTGCCTTCTTGCCCACATGGTTTCTGCTGAGAAATCAGAACTTAGTCTTATTGGTTCTCAGTTTTACTAAGCCGTTCTCAGGATTCTTTTCTTGACATTGTTTTTGGAAATTTTGATTATGATGTATATTGGTGATTTTCTTTTTGGGATCTATTCTATTTGGGGTTCATTAGGCTTCTTGTATGCTTATATTCTCATCTTTCATTATTATAGGGAAGTTTTCTTCCAACAAC